AATAAATAAAAGTTCTTTACAACAAAAAAGTTTAACGAACATATTACATTAAAAGAAAATCATTACCAAATTTGGTCCGGAGATTCAAACACGAAAATTATTGTTGCACTTCTGAGCATAACTTTCAAATTTAAAAAATCTATGAAAAGAAAATTTGAGACAAATTTTTTTTTTAGATTAATAGACTCCCCTTTTAAATCTGAATTGAATGGTGGTAAGTTTTTTAAAATCCAATGTGTGAATCTCATAATATTTCAAAAATTTTAACTTTTGAGTATAGATGATCCGCACTGTACGAACGAATCGGAAGCAATAATAATTTTAAATGCTCGTGTAACAGCTCTAAAATTATCAATAAAATAAAATATTTTTATTATTATGATCGCGAGAAAATTTTTTAATCATTAAAATCAAATATTAATACTAATTACACAAATTTTTATGGCCTTCTCAACTTTAAGGCAGAACTTTATTGTGGTGTTGTGTCCAACAACTAAGTTGGTCTGTTCAATTGAATTTTGAAAAAAATCATGTTATAAGAAAATCAAAAAAGATCTGAATTTCACTATTGTTTTTTAACAGAAAACATCTCGAAATTTTATTATTTAAAGTGAGTATGGTTTCTAAGCTAAAATTAATCCTTGTAGTGAATTGTATATAGAAGCTTTATTTCAAAATCATAATGTTTGTATATATTTCTATTGTCAATGCTCATTTACTATTATTTTTTACTGAAATTTTAATGGAAAATTTTAAAGTGGGCACGGTTTCTAAGCTTAAATCTTCTTCGTGATGGGTCACACGCACATATAAGTGTTATTAACTAAAAATTGACTTTTGGGTAACGCTTTCTCTTTTTTCTATTGGACAGGACCCAGTGTGTTTTTCAAGCTAAAAATCAAAAAAGGAATTTTTTTTGATTACTCAATATTCGATTGAATATGAGACAAATTCTTGAACCAAATTAATTTATTATAATTAACATTTAATTACAATGTAACGGAATCTTTCATTCTTTCGAAAAGATATTAATAAACAAATAAATTAGTTTCTTTAAAAAATAAAAGAAGTTCATTGTTTCTAGATAGATGCTAACATTATTTTGAAGCTAATTTCAAGAAAAAAAAATGACAGGAAAAAATCATTTATTATTACTGTATTAAGACACAATGAAAAACCATTTAGCCCATTTAGCATTTAATAATTAATATAATTAATATTACACTGCATCCAAAGTTGGTAGTAACGCTTTTGTTGCCTTAAATGGAAAGATCATCTTAAATTTTGAGATTGGGCACAGTGTATAAAATTCAATGTGCGGAATGTGCGGGTGTAACATCGTACATTAGTAGTTTTCTGCAAATGATTTCTAAATTTGTAGAAATCTGCATTAGTTACACACTGGGATACACTGGTCAATTTTAAATTGCATGCGTGAAATTCAATTTAGTCAGCTAATCGGAATTCCAATTTAAGAATGTAACCTAGTCCGAGCTCACCAAATGGTTTTGTTTGGCACCTCTTAAGCTTGCATGTGATATTTGGAATAAGTCTCTGCGACGAAATAAACTAAAACCTGCCGGCGGTTATACAATAATCTGCCTGTTTCTGAAAAATATTATTTCTACTAAATTCTGCCTATTTTACTTGCTGCTATAAAATCATAAAATCAATGAATTATATATTATCGAAAAGTTTTATTCAACACACTAAAATTCATTTACCACATTTTGCGACGCTTTTTATAAAAATAAAACATCGACTCATTCACGTATCACAAATTAAAGTTTTTTTAAAAGAGACTTTATCTAAAATCTTTTTCTAAATTTAGAAACTTCTTTTTTCGCTGCAGCCAAATATAGCAACCATATATTTCAGAGAAATTTTAGAAAGAACTAGTAGTAATCGATCCCGAATATTTATCCAATATTCATCGCTATATATTATCCATTTCATTTATATACTATTCCCGTTATTAATCGTCTATTTTTAACCCGTAATTATTGACTAAATGGTCTCTGTTTCATTGATTGGATCCATAAGATAACGTTTTTAAACAACCTTAATTATTTTTAAAATTATCAGAACCAATAGAATTACAAAAAAAGCTATAGCAAGTGATATAATTAAAGTCAAACTTGGTGATAATGAAGAAGTCGGTTTTGATGATAACGGTGAGGTTGGATTTGATGATGATGGTGAGATCGGATTTGACGATGATGTTGGCATTGGGATTGAATTTAAGAAACTTGATGGATCGTATAAATTAGCCCATCTGTAATTATTTCTGTCACTAATATCCATTAGATAAATATCTGCTTGATAAGTATTTGGTTCATGTATACCTTAATTTATCAAATACAATTAATTTATTAATTACTCGGGAAATTGTATTTATTCAAATGCAATAAATAAAAAATTTTCTGAATTACCAAATCCGATTAAAATATATTTTCCAAGTAATGTTGCAGTGTGAAATTTAATTTTTGGAGCTGGTCTTCCATTAAGAGAATCAATTGATGGGTATGACCGCTCATAGGTTTTGATATCTAACACAATAAATTGGCTAACAGGGGATCCACCAATAATTATAATGCGATCATCTGAAGCTGTTTAATGCAAATTGATATTGAGAAAAATTGATAAATCCAAATATTCAGGATAATATATTTTGAGTAAAAATAAATTAAAAAATCAAATAAGAAGAAATTTACTCAGAATAGCAGTATGACTATCACGCGGAGAAGGAATATCGCCCGAGGTTGTCTAGATAATGATTTTAATTTTTAATTTTTTGATTCAATGACCAGGGTTGTTAAAATTTTTAATTACTAACAATGTAATTCCATGTGTCATTTTTGATATCGTATAGTGACAGCTATTAATGTATGTACGTAAGAATGCAATAATTAATATTCTTATATATATTTGAATTCAACTGATGTAAAAATTTATACCTTATCCCATGACGCTCTATTCCCTTTAGCATCTTCTCCTCCAATATATAAAATAGTATCATCAGATAAAAGTATTGCAGTGAATCCAGCGACGCCTGCCCGCAAGGGTGCATTGATTATCGATCCCGAAGACCAAGTTAAGGATATAGTATTCAAAATATTCATTTCAGATACGGACGTTGTTCCATCAGTTGAAAATATATATATCGACCCATCCTTTGTGCTTGTACAAGGGAGAGAATTTGGTTTATTATTTGGAACGATTCCTGAGATCGTAGGTTTCTTCCACTGTTGTTGAATGATATCGTACTGAGCAACGAGACCGTATGGATCAGATGCGTCCATATTTCCACCGAACAGAAAAATCGAACTATTGTTGATCCCACCCGCACAAGCGGCGTCCCTGTTTCTTGTAGGAATGCTAGTTAGTGTAATATCAACCCAAGGAATACTTGAGGTATCTACTGCGTTGAACGGCTTGGAAACGTCAAGGTAAAAGAACTGGTTGGAATATTCTTCAGTTTTGAAATAAAGCTTAGTGTCGGCGAGAACATAAGAATACCAATATACCCCAGGAAGCGGAGTGTAGGCATTAACGCCAGACAAAAAGTAAAATATACTAATAAATAAAAAAATATCGACTTTACACATTGCACTGTTAAGAGTTTTAAAGAAGGGTAGATTTCAATTTTCAGTAGAATAATGAAGTGTCCTTCTTTTTGATGATATATAAATTATTTTGTGCTCAAACCAAACCAAATGTAATCCTCATTTTATATCATCAGGGTTTTTGTGTGATACAAAGTAAAGTAAATGATTCACTCCCATTTGAAAATATCATTATCTATTTTTTATTAATCTTTGGATCGTTTCTTTAAAGATGGATGATTGTTGATTTCTTTTGAAAAGAAAATTCAATTTAAACAAACTTCTATAAGTTACATCAAATAAAAAATCAACATAGTTTACCAGGTCTTTCTTTAAAAACTACAGTATATGGATTAGTTATTGATGATGAATTCAGTGGAATCAATGATGAAACCTTATTGATCTTTTGTTTTTTTTTGTAATTTCTTGGTATCAACTCAAGCCTGCTAAAAGGTTCCAGAAAAGACCATGATTTGAATACCGGTAGCTTTAAGAGAATGGTTTACTACATATATGCCTCTTACCAATATTGATATATATGAGTATGTTTTCTTTTTTAAACATCTACTACTCACTTTCGATATTTGTTTTTGATCCAATTCCAAAGAAAAAACATTCACATTAATATTATAATTATAACTAATTATTCCTTTTACCCATTGAATATAATATACCACACATAAAAATCTGTAGTAACAATATTCATAAAAAAAGTTGAATATGTAAATTTATTGAATAAAAAAAATTGTTTTGAAGTAATTCTTACGTGTAAATGCAAACTTGAGGCGTATTCATGGATAGGCAATTAACTGTCTAATCTGAAACTAGAAGTCCATTCCATCTATCCCTATGGTTATTATTAATAAGAGATTTTGCTTAAGTTAATTACGAGATTTATAACAAAATTCCTCTTTTTAAAACTAATATATTTTTGAGATCTAGAACTGATTGTGAAGAGGTCTTAACTGGTTCTGAAACCAGAAGTTTTATTTTATAAGAATTTCTGTGTAAAGTTACAAGAAAGAGTAAGGTTCTAACAGAAACTTACCTTTTAAGCTCCCATTTACTTGGGATTAATTATTAGTGATATAGGTGTGTAACAATTTACGGGTTATTTGTTCGATGATAATGTTTCCTTTATCCGCAACATGAATTTACTCGTGATAATCAGTTTACGTTACATTAATTATTTGTTGCTAATTATTATTATGTCTAGAAACCTTGGAATAGATGAGATTATCATTTATATTTTTCATTTTTTGAAGATAATAAAAATAACTTATATTTTTACAATCATTAAAGTACTTGTTCGTAAAAGAGCGTTTTAATTCGTTTTGAAAAGTAATTCTTTACAGTAACTGTTGTATAACAATTACATGATATGAAGTAATGAATGGACAAGAACCAGTTAAATCATCTAGAGCCAATCTCCATGTTTTTCTTATTAACACATCCTTGAATAGCTTCTCTTGTTTTTTTCCTAGGATTAGTATTTAAAAATTGTTTTTAGCGGAAACGGCAATTTATTTCTTCTCAAATTAACACACGAATTCTAGTTATCATTTGATTAAACGAGTCCAAGTACTTGGGTTTATGTTATGGAGCATTTTTGTTAAAGATGTTTACAGCATATAGGATATTTGCGGTTTGATTTTTTTGCGAAAATATGTGAACTGGTGACGTTTTTATAATGAGTTTTACGTCCATTGAACACAGTATCGTTTGTGGAATTTACTTAGATTCGTTTCCAATGCAATAAAGCAAATCTTAAAAAATTTAAATATACATACATCTCATCTGTAGTAGGGAAACAAAGGCTCATTTATTTCAAACCAAAAAAATATTGCGCTTTGAATGTTTAATACTTGTTTCAAATAGTTTATTTGTTAATTTCCTTTGCTGACGTTATAAAGTATATAAAAAAAGGTTGAATGTATAATAATAAATTTTAACCCTGAAATTACTTTATATAATTTTGACTAATGATAAAAATAGCTACTAAAATTTTGACCCCTACAATTTCTTTGTGGTACACCCCATATTAATATAATACTAATACTGAATAACGAAATCTTTTTGATCCGACTTTTTTTAAATTATGATATCAACTAGATATTCTGTATTAAAAGCATATAAAAACCTATTAAAGGTTCAAAAAATTACTTTTAATGGTAAGCGTTGAATTGAACTAAATTAAAGTAATTAAATTATATTAAATTATATAAATTTTTTTAATTTAATTTAAATCCAAATTTATTAGGAGATAATTATGCATTAAAAGGTCAGAAACCAAAACTTTTAATTCTCAAATTAATTCAATTAATTCCAATAAATTCAATAAAATTTCCATTCCTTCCTTGCATTAATGAATCAAATAGAAGCAAAAAGAAAAACATGGGAGGAATTTAGAAAAAATAAAGACGAAGTTGACATTATAAAAATTAACAAGGTTAAATTGGATTTTGATTAAATTGACCAATCAAAATTTTAATTTATTCTAATTAATATTTATTAATTGATTGTTTATTATTATTGTTGCCATTATTATTATTATTATCAGTGTATTGGAGAAGCTGAGGAAGTTGCTGGCATTCTAAAAAAGAATATTGTACAAGCAGTTTTAGTTGATAATGATCAAAAATTATTTAGTAACTAATTTTTTTATGATTTTATTGGATTTTATTTTCTGTTTCATTGATATTAATTAATTTCTTCTAATTTGTAGAATTAAATATAACTAAAGATACAGAATTGGGAGATAATGAATCAATTAAGAATCCTTTATCAGCAAAAGATTTAAAGGAACAGTTAGGTTGTACTTGTCCATAAACATCACAAAAAAGTAAAATATTGTGGAAGAATTGTCTTGATTGGATTTAGAACTAAAAAAAATAAAAAATAAATTAGAACTGAACTTTAAAATAAAATAATTACAAAATCTTACAGTGACAAATAATTATTTTGTCTCCAAATATTCTTTTGCATTGAACAAATATTCTTTGTTGGGAGGAACGAACATTATTATATAAGAGAAGAAATTGTGTCACAGAATACTTGAAGTATTTATTTACAAATGCTTGGGATGCTTGACATAATAATGGAAATAAAATTTTATTTAAGATGGAAGATCTTTATAATAAATATTAATCAAGTCTAAATCTGGTTTATTTCTTATTTATTTAATTAAACCGATCACTAATTCATATGTGTCAACTTTTATCATAGTACAAATTTATTACTTTCAACATAGTTTTCCAATAAGATTGGGGAGATTGAATATTTTAATCTTTTAAACTATTGTAATGAATCTTCAGTCTATTATGACACTCTAAACTTGGCCTTTTTCTTCGAAAAAAATTGCAATAACCGTTTTTATTAAAATAGTTTTCAAATTTGAAATTGGGCCCTTAAACTATTCGTGATAATAATAATAATAGTAATGGTAATAGTAATAGTAATAATAATAATAATTTAATTGATAATTTTGGTGGCCATTATTTTAATTTAATTGTAACATGTGATTGGCCGGCATTTTTTTATAATTTTTTTGATCATCATATTAATATGATTGGCATGGTCAAATTTCGTTCACATGACTCACATATAAGTAGACAAAAAACCTTAAAATTGAACTTATTTGGGTATTATTTACAAATATTTGTGTCTTTGCCTTGTAGTAAGTCATAATATTCTTGACTTTTTTTGCTTGTTCAACAAAAACTTATTATTATAAACTTTATTTTGACCTATAAAATTTAATCAATAATATAATTTAATTCACAGTTTTTTTATTTTAAAATGAATCCAATATTTGAAAAATATTTTAATGAAAATGAAAGATTGTTAAATACTGAAAATTTTTATGATGTAAAAATATATGTTGGTGCAAAACCAAACATTAAAGAAGTTCATGCACATGCATCTATAATAACAGCTCATTGTCCATTTTTTAACAATGAATTAAATAATGCAACAAAAGAAAATGGTTATTATATTGTTAAGAAAGCTAATATTGATGAAAAATGTTTCAACCTTATTCTCAAGTAAGTTCAAATAAATTTATTATTCATTTATTTACTTATTCATTTATTTATCATTATTTATCATTATTGAATATATAATAATTCCAATAAATCTGTTTAATAATTTATTTATTTTTTAAGATTTTTATATACATGTAAAATTGAAATTGAAGATTATTCTGGTGCTGAAGTATTGGAATTATTGACTGCAACAGATGAACTTGGTATTGAGTCACTTTATGAATATACAATGAAATACTTTATTGAAAATTGTGGGGATTATATAAAAGAAAATCCAGTTAAAATTCTACAATTGATTTATGCTAACAAAAATTTTAATGAATTAAAAAACATATATATGGAAAAATTTTGTGAATATAGTGAAAAATTATTCAAATCAAGTGAATTTAAATCATTAGAAAAACCAATTCTATTGGAAATTCTCAAAAGAGATGATTTTTCTGTTGATGAGATAGTAATTTGGGAAAGCATTCTTAAATGGGGATTAACAAAACATCCAGAAATCAATAATATCAATCCTGAAGATTGGTCATTACAAAATTTTGTTGATTTAGGCAACACGTTGAAAGAATTTATTTCTCTAATAAGATTTCAGGATATTTCTAAAGAGGATTTTCTTGATAAAATTGAACCATATAATATGCTTTTTCCTAGGACCTTATGGAAACCCCTTTTACAATATCATGTAATTCCAGATAAACAACAAACATTAAATTTATTACCATCAAGAATTTCAAATTTGAACTCAACACATGAATCATTGACAATTAATCAAAAGCTTACTTTGCTTTTTGCAAGTTTGATTGATAGAAAAGGTCCACCATATATCTCATCCAGGGAAGTCAAATATGAATTCAAACTTCTATATCATAGTAACAGAGATGGTTTAAATGTAACTACATTTCATCAAAAATGTGATAATATCAATAAAACTCTTGTAGTTGGCAAAATACAAAATTC